TTTACCCATTTACTTTTCAGATTCCACGGATAAAAATCAATCAATCAATCAATCAAAGAGAAAGTAGACCCAGGAGAAGAACATGAGGTTCGAGTGCCACCTTAGTTTCAAGCAGAAGAAAGTACATTCATAACAAAACACGATCACAGTAATATTCAAAATCAATTTAAGCAAACAAGAGTGGCATAATTAAAGTCAGAACTCAGGGCCTTTTTCCAAGAGAATAAGATGGATTGAAATAACTGCCACCACTTCCACCCAAAATATAATTAAATTAAATATGCATGCATGTTGTTGAGGAATAATCATTATAATAGCCCCCTGAAGAAAAATGTGTTTATTTCTAGTCAATTGGAAAAAAAAATGTATTACTGATTTTCTTCCCCCAACAATATAACAATTGCAAAGTGCAACCACGTTAATGGCGAGGTTAAAATATGAAGGTGCCAGTGACAGAAAACTGGATAGTTTCAGACAAACCTAACAGCTACAACATTACAGTCATAATTTCTCCTTCTTCCACGTGCCATCTGTCCCTACCCCCACGCACTTCCATGGCAAGTCTATATGCATATCACATTATCTAATCACGGGGTACTCTTTTTTCTGTTTATCTTAGAGTTTCTTTTATCTGGGTGAGGGGGGACCAGGTGCGATCTGTGTGGCAGACCTAAAAATCACTCAAGGTGATTTTAGAAACAGTGCCCTCTCGATCCAGAGCGTTCACTCTCAGGTCTTCTATGAAGAATGATATTTGCACTAATGAATGTTTCTTCTGCTATTACTGGGGAGGCAATTAGGCCTTGCCATGCTTGTACCGCCGAGCACGGGCATGTCTGCGGGCAGCGGCGGGCCTCTGGGTAATCAATCATGTTTCTTGGCAGTGCTGTCAATCAGAAGCTCTCCTGAGTGGCATCTATTGACAGTTCTCAGCACGCTGATGCTTTCCTGCTCCCTCTCCTCTTTCGGGTTCATGGTAATACAGACTTTGAGCCTGCTGTTTTTTCATCATAGAGTGGAATTTTTTCATTTTTCTCTGCTTGTGTTTATTCTTGCCCCCTGCTTTATCCTTTCAAGACTATCACAGAAAATATAGTATTCAACACGAATCCCCCAGAGGGGTTCTTCACTGTGGTTTCAATATATATTATTCTGTATTGCAGTTCTTTTCCTCCTCCTTATCTTTAGACACCTCAAACGACATCCTCCAACCCCTACTGCAACCCCAAAACCTCTGTACTCCATCTTTTTCTATATTTCTGACCATATCATTGACTTCTCCTCAGTGTCTAGAAAGCTTTAACTAATTATCAACAGGGAATTGAATTGTTCTTCTCCTATCAGAATGGTCCCTAATTTTATCGCCAAGCTATATTTGCAAGGACCCTCATATGCTGGATTTTTCAAGACTACCCCAATCTCAAATAATCTGCTCCTCAGACCAAGTGGTTCCAAGCTTTGGTTTGGAAATTCAAGTTGTAACACACTTCAATGAGATTATTTTAAATAATTGCGGTATTGACATTTTTCTCCTTTGTATACTCAGACAGCCATCAGCACTAGAAAAATCTCTATTTCGCTTAGAAATTGCATCTTTATTTTCTGTACACTAAAAGGAAACCTTACCCTGATGCGTGGCAATCTGGGGACAATAGCCAAGGCCCATTTGGAATTTGTTAGTATCTGTGCCCCACCCCCACCAACACCATAGCAGGCACCTGTGCCCAAAAGTGAGCTAGCAAGAACATGCTCGCACGTGTATACACACATACACACAACTGGTTATCCCTTATCTATCCTCAAACTCATGCTCAGAGAAACCTCAGCAGTGATAGCATGAGGGGTATTAAGGAATGTTCCTTTGCTCTCTACTTTCTACAGCTCCTGGGTTTGTGTTTTCCTGATTTAACCATTTCAGGCATCTTCCTCACTCCATCCACTCACAAGAAGTACCCAAGGCAACTGGTGATCTGTTATCTATATTTTGGCAGCTTCTCTCTCCCTCTCTCTCTGTCTCTCTCTCTCTCTCTCTCTGTCTCTCTCTCTCTCTCTCTCTCTCTCTCACATACACACACATGCAAAAATGGGAATATGCTTTTTATGACATCTCTCCATAAAGAGGGATGTGGGTCAGCATGAAAAGCATCCATATATGCCACAGTCTTTCAACAGGAAACTAGAGTTTCTTCCAAGGATGACTTCTAGGGGTGTTTGAGCTACATTATTTGTTCAGATGGCAGCATAAACAATGATATTAACCTCACTAAAGAAGAAAACAATAGGTCAATTGGAAATGGAAGACAGCCAGTAGAAAAGGTGGGGGGAGATGTAATAAGTGACACCGCCACTGGTCATGTGTCAGCCACTGTGCTAGGCACAGCACGTGCATTCTCTTTTTTAAGCCTTACTACAACCCTGTGAGATGGGTTAGATGAAGAAGCTAAGGCACAATGGGGCATGGGGCTGATCTCCCAGTTAGGAAGCAGGGGAGCCAGCACTTGAACACAGATTGTCTGATTTCAGTGCCCCAGTTTTTAAGCACTTTGTTATTCTGCCTCCTCAGTTTAGACTCAGCACTGTCCAGGGGAGAGAGTTATAATGTGGATTACACATTGTCTTAGGTAAACACCCTTGGTCTGACCCTACATCCATCAAGTAGCCTTCAGGTTATAATTTAGCCTCCTTTGCTATCATGGCAGTAGGGAGAGTTTTGTGAGTCCTGTGAGAGTTCTCACTATACAATGATGAATTGGCCATTTCCTGCCTTCGTTGGCCTCCTGAACATGCAGTTACCAAAAGCCAAGCCCCTTGAACCTGAACACTCCCCAGCCCTCCAAACTGGGCCCAGATCCTGAAATGGCCTGGCTCCATCCAGCCCTCCTTTATATACAGCCTCCACCAGTTCTAACCTCCAATTTCTACTTTCTTTCCCCATTACATTACACCTTTCCCCATTACATTTCTTTCCCCATAAACATTACACCTTAATTTCACTCTTTAGCTATACAAAGGTGACAACTGCAAACTCTTGTTAGCACTCTGAGAACCTCGTCCTCCATCATTTTGACTATATGCTCTTTTCCTCTCCTCTCTGTGTAAATGTATTCTTTGAAATCAATGACTCTCCACTACCAGTGCTCCTTGAACCTGGTTGACTCGTGTACACCCATTCTATTAGTGGCACCACAGCATCAGCTTGCCTTTGTCCAGTTTTTGGACTCCATCAAGAAGAAACAAGTAACATTTGAGCCAGTCCTTTAGTTATTATGCTAATAAAATCCTACGTCAAAATCATGCATATGTGTGTCTATATATGTGTGTATATATATATACATACAGATATATTACATATAGCATCTACATGTAAAATACATTTTACCTATCTACTTTAAAGGAAAAGGCTGTGCCAGGCACTAAGCTTTTACCACATCCTGGACAAGTCATGCCCAAAGGACTGCCCTGCCCACTCCCCTTCTGAGGGGGCCTGATTCCACAGAGAGGGCCCATGAACCTGTGGGAGCCGATCTTAGGGCTTTCAACTACTTATCAGGTCCTGACATGAAAAGTGAGCCCAGCCCATCAGAGTTTTCTCTTGGCAATTTGACTGGGAAACCCTGGGAGATGGGACCAGGGAGTCGTGGTGCCAAGGATGAAAGGAAGGCACGAGTCTGGGCTTGGGCCAGGGCAAGCCATGTGTACGCAGATGTCATGAGGGGTAGAAAATCAGAGTAGAGAGGAGGAAGAAGCTGCTTGGGACAGAGGAGATGAGAACAGAGGAGACGTATGTGGAAAAGCATGTGTCATGTATTCCTCGTTTTTAAGAACATGGTTTTCATACACATGGTAGAGAAAGGAAGAAGGACGCCAGGGGCTTGGCAGCACAAAGGGAAGAACACCAAAGCATCAAGGGAAGACAGGGATGAGCAAACAGTTGGCCCAGTGAGGAGTGGGATGAAGAATCCTCTCACTTAAGCACTTGCCTTAAGTACATGTGTCTCGTATTCCTTAAAAAAAAGAAAGAAAGCAAACAAAAAGGTAGGAAAGCAATTTATGTAACCAAAATGTTTGTACCCCCATAATATTCTGAAATTTAAAAAACAAAAGAAAAAAAGGTCAACACTTATACCCTCTATAACATACATAATATCCTAAATTTTCACCAATAATTTAGGACAGTCTCAAGATAGTCAAGTTCTCACCTCGTTTCCACTTGAGTAAGAATCCTTCCCCTAGTAGGTATGGATTTATTTACATTTTGTTCTGATGACAAGTTTCATGTAGCTAATGATATACCAGACAAAGGAAAGAGAGCATTGTGATGGTCTATAAGTTATGCCAGTGTGAATAGAACAAGCAGGGGCCTAACGTGCACCGGTGAGTTTCTAGGCACGGCCTGCAGATGACACCCTGCATTACTGCCAGCCCCAAATGCATCCTGTCACTGCCTCTTAGCATCATATACAGTCCTCACCCCAAAAAGTGAGGTTCTCCCATTTCATTCCCACCCTGACCTGGAAATGAAACTTTTCTATACCCCTTCCACTTCACAGAAAGTTTTCCTTTCCACATAAAACAGACACATATCTTTTCTACCGTGACTGTTTAAATAAGCTTTTTCACCCATTCTTGCCGAATCCTCTAGTTTGATTGGAGGAGTTGGGTGTTGAAGGGGCTTACTGAAAAGTCAAGTCAAAAGTAAAATTAAATCACAGTGTCTAGGCCCTGCAGAATGTATAAAAATGGTTCCTTGCCTTAGCGGAGTTGAGAACACAATGTTGTAAACGTAGCACTTTGCATGTGGCCCACAGGTCTTATTATTTTACAATTATACCCAGATGTCAATAGTAGTGGCATTTAAAACCTACAGAGCCGGCGAGTGTTTAAAATGGTTCACGTCTGCCTTCTGCAAAAGTTAAAGTGAAGAGATGACAGGTCTGTTTAATACAGCATGTGTTTTGCCTAACCAGCCAGTGACAAGAAAGAGTTATACAGGTACTTACTATTTATAACCCATGGCCACATCCACAAAATACTTTCTTCTCTGTCGATAGACATTGTCCTTAAATCCCTTAAACACAAAAGAGATTAAGTTATTTAACAAAGTGCTGAAAAATTAGCTGTAGAAGGCCTAAAAGAAAATCACTGTGGTGTTTATTGAGTGTTTAATTCAAATGTAAATTTTATCCTTGGATGATCATCTTGATGACACAGACAGAAGCAAATTGCACTTACAGTAAAACCTCATTAAATTGGGGCTGTACTAATTTAGGATGTGTGGGAATTCAGGCTAAAGTTTACCTTTCCACTAAGTAAGTAAAATGGCTTAGTTAAGCAAATTGATATATTGAACAATATCTTTTGGTTTTTAAGTATCACGTGCACATAATTGATTTTAATCACAAGTTAATTTTATCGTATTCATTAAAACAGGTCCTTGTAACATGGCTGTTCAGTAAGTTAACATAATTTTAATTACTTGTGTAAATAACTAATAAATATAGCATTTATTAAAAATTCTGGCCAGACACAATGGCTCATGCCTGTAATCCCAGCACTTTGGGTGGCCGAAGTGGGAGGATTGCTTGAGCTCAAGGAGTTCAAGACCAGCCTGAGCAATACCGAGACCCTGTCTCTACAAAAAAATTAAACAATAAAAAATAAATTTAAAAAAATTCTACCACTCAGAATAATCATCACATTCCCAAATTAGTATAAATTAAAGAGGTTTTGCTGTATTTTATGACTACTAGCCACATAATGCAAAATCGATTTTAAGGGATTCATGCACAGGGTAGCAGTCTAGCACCAACCCACTCTGAGTTCCTATAATTCTAATTAGTCTTAGCCAACTTTATGATTTTTATCCATCATCATCTACTTGGGAAATTAAACATCATGTCTGTCATGTTTCAGTCATAGGGAATCCTTCTGAGAGGACTTCCTGGTTCATTCAAAAATCTTTCCCCTTGTCCACAGACTTTCCATTTTCCTTTCCTTTAGGTACTTTCAGACAATCAATTCATTCCAGGGTTGTTTCTTCAAGCTGCTGGAAGCCCAGAAGGAATTGTTTCAATTTAACTTCTTACCTCTGCAACCCCGAAGGACAAGCAGGAAGTGGCAGCTCGCTGAAAATGGAGGCCAGGCCAGACAACAAGCCACTGGGATCACGGGGTTTGACAGTAAAAACAGGGCGAGGCCCACAAAGGCCTAGACCACCTCTGCTGCACCTGAGACATTTCTGCAGGGTGGGCTGTTCACGAAGAACCTCAAACTCACTAGAAAACCAGCCCATTCTCTTGTCAGGCTGAAAGAGAACTGGCCTCGAGGCTAGAAATCTTCACAGGTCTGTCTGCTGGACAGAAATGAAGAACTTCCATGTCAGTGACCTTTCTTTCAGGAATGACAAGAGAGTTACTAACGGGGAGGAGAGAGAAAAAAAAAAGTGCCCTGAGATCGTCCTAATACCCTGTAGAAATGAAGTATCCTCTGCCCAGAAGCTAGCACTTTCTTTCTTGTGCTGCGAATTGGGAGTTTTTAAACTGGGGTTCACAGACAGGCTTGTGAAGCCCTAAAATATCTATAAACAAAATTTGTGACCATAGTTACCACACTGACGAGTAGGTCAGTGACCTTAAAAGGGGTCTCTTGCTGTAGAAGGTAAATACAGTCATGCTAGAAAGTACATGTTTCAACACTCACTATTAAAACCAGGCGACTTGAGATGATTAAACTGAAGAATTTCAAGCACCTTTATTATTTGAAAAGAAAGCAGGACATGACAAAAGGAAAAGCGTCCTGTGAAAAGCACAGCATCTGTTTCCCAGTTCCTGCCAGACCGGACACCATGGTAACAGCATCATGATCTGCTGGGCCTCCAGAAGAATCTCAACTCTCTCTCCTCGGCAAACACCTGCACCTTTTCCACAGACGCAAGAGAGTGATTTACTCATCATGCCTCATTAGCTTAGTGTGGCAGTGATTACGCAAATGTTGTGGGCGATTCAGAGCTTCCAGGATTGAACCATGGACTGGCAAGGTAAAACAGGGACGCTAGCTACACTAGCGATCACAGAGAAACAGCGTTCCTTGCCCATTCATTCTGAACCAAAGCCAGGGATAGGGTCACCAGATAAAATACAGGAGACCCAGTATATTTGAATTTCCGGTAAACAATAAATGTTAGTATAAGTATGTCCCAAGTGTTGCATGGGACATACTTATACTAAAAAAATTGTTCATTGTTTATTGGAAATTCAAATATAATAGGTCATTCTATATATTTATTTGCTAAATCTGGTAACCCTAGCACCCAGAGAGTACCTACAAGCACAAACCCACATTCCCTCCCTCAATTTAAATCAAAGGAAACCACTCAGACTTGTAGGGGGAAGGGGGGAAATGGGCATTTATTGAAACCTTAAAATCTGTACCCCCATAATATGCTGAAATAAAAAAAAAAAAGAAAAAAAAATCAAAAGAAACTGAAGACCCCGCCTGAACCTTAAAGTGCTCAGCTAAATTTACATAGACACTCAAGTAGCTATCCCAAGTAGTTCAACCCTGGCAGAATATCAGAATCAACTAAAGAGCTTTAAATAATACATCAAACCTGGCTGCATTCCCAGAGGTTCTGAGTTAAGCTCTCTGGGGTGAGGCCCTGGCATCAGTATTTTTTTAATTCTCCGCAAGTGATTTCAATAGAAAGCTAGGGCTGAGAATGACTGAGCTAAGGTAAGAGTTCTCAAACTGTAGAGCTCATCAAAATCTCCTGCACATCCTTTTATTTTTATTTTTTTTATTTTTTTTATTTTTTTGAGACTGAGTCTCACTTTGTTGCCCAGGCTAGAGTGAGTGCTGTGGCATCAGCCTAGCTCACAGCAACCTCAAACTCCTGGGCTCAAG